GTGTCTGTTTGAAGGGTAACATACTGTCAATGAGAGCTTTGTTGGGAGGACACACACTCTTAAAAAAAGATGGTTCTTCAAGGGTTCTTTGAGTGTTCATGGTTCTACACAGAACTATTGTCTTTACTAAAGAACCCTTGAAGAACCATCTTTTTTAAGATTGGAAGGATGGAAGAGTTAAAGAGGCAGCAGGTGCACAAAAGTAAACAGTGGACAAATTATTTAGTGATAGATTTGATATTATTCTTAGTGTAGAAAGCTTTTCTGCAATAGTCTGTTAAATATGTTTTTCTGACTGGTAAACAAAAGCATGATCTCTGAACTTTACCCAGTTCTGTATTGCATTAAATGAAATCTACACTGATTATTCAATTAATCATAAAATAATCTGTAGATTATTCGATTACAGATATAATCAATGGTGACAGTGCAGTGGCTTCACACAGACAGTGATACTGTTCCAGTTTATTAAGAGCACAGGAGTCATCCTATCAGAGGTATGCACCTCATTTGAATATCTGCATTATGCATCAGCGAGCTGGCACATGGTTGGTTAGACATGAGTTATTATTTGGCATCTCATGAATACAAGTGTGTGGCCCCCTACTGCAACGGGTATGTGAGGTACTTTATATGATTATGATGAGAATATTAACATGCCTGCATTACAGTGTGTGTGTGTGTGTGTGTGCATGTGTGGGTGTACAGTAAGAACAAATTCATGTTCATGCCTGTAGGCAGGATTGTATTATGTTCCATATAGTTATTTACGTATAAATTATACATCTGAGACCACCATTTTTGTATTTTAGAAATATATACCAATAGAGATATTTGTGCATGCTCTTAAAAAAAACTTCTTTCTATTATTTATAAAAAGTGGCATTTCCAAGCACAGCTATTCGCTCTCTGTGCGCCTGTAGCACATTTAGCTTCCCCAACCAGTGAACAATCCTTGTGCAGTGCATCACTAGCCTACTCCTTCACACTCTGTCACACCATGAGCAGTTAGCATCCACAGATACAGTCTGGCAGTAACTTGCTACAAGCATGGGTTCAAGGGAGATTAGTGTGTGTGTGTGTGTACAGGAGCACAGTCTGTGACTTGCTGATCGGAGATACATATTGCTGTGCTGTGTACAATACACTTATACAATACACATACATATATATATTTTAAAAATAAAATAAATTATCATATAATGAAGGTATATTTTTTCAGCCAGTCTTGCTCCCAGTTTACTCACTGCCAATTACACCCACAGGCCACCACATCAAACTGCCATGAACAGTTGCACAATATGCCTAGAGGACAACTTCAACTGCTAACACTAGCATTGGCTAGCATCACACTGGGTGATGAGTAGACAACAGGATGCAGCTGCTCCAAGCATACTATGCTTAAAAAATACAGGAGAACAGGAAGTGTTCTTAATGTCACATGGGTAGGTGGCATTGTTATTTGAAACAATTATCCAGCCTGATTCAATTAATGAGAATTGCTAGGCTAAGAAATGGTGAAAAGATGTTGCTAGGCAGCATCATCTGACTCCTAAAAAAGTTTTGAAACGGCATGGAAAATGACACTAATCACTCAATGTTGCTAGAACAAGCAGCTCTTAGGTAAACTAAACTTCATCGCTGTTACTGATTTTGCTAACATATTGTATATTGTGATGTAATTTATCATGACGATAAAAATTGCCATATTGCCCAGCTCTACTTTCGGTGAAGTTTGCTGAAGGACCTGACATATCCTCAGCAATGCTGTACTGACTTACTTGATGACAAAAACCTATTTATGAGCAGTTAGTATGAATTTCATCTTGTCAGAACCTGAGATATTTTAATTTAACTGATGCCTAAAAACAAGCAATGTGAAAAACAGTAAAGTAATTGATTTGATTAAACCTTTAAGGATCATAACAAGACTCAAATTGACCAATATTGTTCCCATATTGTTAGAGCCCATAAAAAAAAATTTAACCCCCCAATCACAACACAGAATTACCCAGAACAACCTATGAATAAACAGCTCTGAATGTCTTCAGAGCTTTTCCATACACTATCACATGATTTTGTTTTTAACATGTGTTATGGTGCGAGAAAACATTTAGCCAGCTAGCATTTCCATGCATTTTTAAACAGGGAAACAGGGACTCGGTCTGTAAGAAGTGGTCTTTAATGAGTTTTGGAACAAAACCTTTCCTATATTTCTGGATTTTTACCCAATTTTGCCCCCAGTTTAGTCATCAGTATTTAGCAACATGCAACTCTTTCACTGCCCTCATGCGGCTCCACAGCAGAATTAGATTTTTCGGTAAAAATAAAATAACCCTCCTTTGTGGTAAAATAAAGCTTTGCTGAGCATTTTAACACACAGTTCTGGTGCAGTTTTAACAATAAATGGTCTTAAACCCTGTTAATTTACCAACCTTGAGCCCGGAAGTAGAGGTCTACACTCCCTCAGACAATGATTAATCTAGTTCAGGGTGTTGTGCGTGAGCGGGACTGAAAAAACAGTCCCACATAGACCTCTACCCTGAAGATTGTCCTGCAGACAACAGTCTCGCATAGCCGATACATTTAATCTGCAATGATAAACTGTCAAATACTAAAAAGCTGCAAAGTTGAAGTCAGCTTCTCATTCGCCAGCTGCTTGTTCGAATTTTCCCGTTCTACCTTAAATGGTGTAGCAGTTATACTCTTGCGCGTCAGGCCCCATTTAAGGTTGAACGGAAAATTTTAATAAGAGCTGGAGAATGAGAAGCTGACTTCAGGTGCGTAAAAAGTCAAACATTGAGAGACATTTTACGAAAAACTATTCTACTTTTGAGGAAAAGTATCCTGCCAGAGATGCGAGAAAAGTAGCTATAGTTGAATTAATACTTTCATTAAGCATTTTCATTTATATTACATTTTTTAGCCTACACTAGTACATTAGTACATACTGAGACATATTTACAGCCAAGATGGGAAAACATTGCTTCAAAAAAATGGACATAAAATGTTGTGGCTCCCAAGGTGATTTGATTATTGTTGAAAGGACAAAATGTCTCTTCTTAACATTTGAGTTGTTGAGCAAGGCTAACGCATGAACCGAGCCACAGCATCATTTCAAACTGTTGCTAATGTTGTATAGCTTGAAGTATGTGAAGGAGAAAGCACTGAAAGGCGCAGGGTGAGAAAGAGAAATATCCTATCTGCTCAAAAAAGAGCGAGGCCAAATATGCTGCTTTTGAGCATGTTTACACCTTGCATTAACATCGGTTTCGTGCCCGGATCATATCTGGATAAACTTTGGCTGCACTACATTCACACTTTTTTTTTACTAAATAAAAGTTAGTTTGACCAGGTGAGATCCGATTGTGCTTTTCTTATGAAAAAAAAAGCACATCAAGACATGAGTCATTTCCATTTGACTTTTTCCAACCTTTGCAATACACTTTCATTGGCACAGAGTGCAAGAAGGCACTTGGGTTGGGGACTCCAGCCTTTTGTACCTTTAATATTTTGTTTCCTTTTTTATCCTTTAACCTGTTATTCAGCACTCAGCATTTTAATACATGTAATTGTATATGCACATCGAAAGTGCATTTCATTTTACACTTGTGCTAATTGTGGTAAAGATCAATCTCTGATCACCTCCAAATGTGTTTGAGGTGTTCACATTGCCTCCTGGGGTGTTTACGCTTGGCTTTTCATGCAGTCAAGTGAAACATGAAAACATGATCCAATCACCAAAAATACACGTTGATGCAAGTTGTAAACAGAATGTTTGACTCCCTCAACTATGGCTGTGACATCAGAGAGTATTTTAAAGGAACACTCCAGCTCAATCTGTGTCACATAGTAAATTACCACAAACAATCATTTTCATGTACTTAGACAGGAACAAATGTTTGACACAAAACTATTGTGAGACTGTTTTGAGTCAACAGGTTTTTTCTGAGTAGTCAGGGATTTGAGTAAATTTTTTTTCCATGTTAATCAACAGTATGCTACCTAAGTGGCAGATAGAGATCTGACTTAAATACTGGGTAGCACTTTATTTTGAGTGGTCCTTCTTAAATGAAATAAACACTCAATAGACGCTCGGTAACATCAACAGCATACCAGTGACGTAGCAACAGTGAATGCATTTAGTAGATTATCAAGAGACTTTTAATTAACTGCATAAATATTTCTGTGTTTAAAATCTGCTGAATTCAGTTTTTCTTTCATTTTATTTGGAGGGTCCACGTTCATATCTGTAGATGTTTAACTTGAGAAGTACAGACCATCTCAACATCCTGAACAAGCTGTTATAGACACAATAGTGTCTCTATATAGTACCTGGATTAGGTTTTGATTAAGGTTAGTGTTAGGATTAGGGCAAGGGTGAGCATTAGGATTAGGGTTTGGGTTAAAGATAGGGTCAGGATTAGGGCCAGGGTTAGGGTTAGGTTTTGGTTAAGGTTTGGTATGGTGAGGCTTTGTGTAATGGAAGTAACATATCAAGTCTACTTCATATAAAATATTAACAATACATCTACTTAACGTAAGTAATGTATCAACAGTACATCTTCAAGATATTTACTTCAATGTATTCAGATGCTTCCCTACTGTGACTTCACTTACATGATGTTGATGAATTACTGATACTCTGTTAGGAGTTTATTAATCATCTACAAAGGATCACTCAAAATGGAGCATCTCTGAAAGTAGGTATTGCCATGAGCATTTCTAAGATTATTTTGTTGGAATATTTCTCATTTATAAAAAGAAACATTTCAATGTCCACATGTACATTATTTTAACTGGATGAAAGCACATTGTGTGTGATGGGAATTACTCTGGAATAGGACTGGACATGCACAGACACACACACACACACACACACACAAAAGATGGACTGATAGAGTCAACAAGATTTTTCTTCTTTGAGACCTTGCTAGCACTTGTAAGGTCATGTTTGATCATGTCACATTACAATGTGTGTGTGATGTTGGGTCACTTACGTGTGCAAGGCGGTCAAAGCGAGCAAAGAGTTCATTTAGCATTCGGACAAGCTCCTGAGCCGAGAGGGTGGTGGACAGGTTAGTGAAGCCCTTCACATCAGCAAAGAGAATGCTGTACGGGACACATAAACACACACACACACACACACACACACACACACACCCACACACACACACACACACATAGAACAACATGGTTTTATTCATTTGGGCAGCTTAAAAACACAGTGAAACACAGTTAAAAACCATCTTTTAATTGAATTGATTCTTAAGGAAATTTTATTCTTAAGGAAATTTTCAGCCAATCACAATCATTTGAAAGAAAAACACAAAACAAATCTGCAGTGAAAACGGCGGTGGCAGTAAATTAGTCAGGATTATCAGACTAATGCTGCATTCAAGTGAAGCTCATAACTTTGAGCTTCCTGCCTCTGACTTGGAAAAAACAAAGAAAATGGCACCCTAGACTGAGTATTCTTGCTCAGAAAGTTGGGATGGTGTTCTCAACTCCAGGCATTGTGTATGATATCAAATCAATATGGCTGCTTGCACAGTCAACAGTAATAAAGAACCACTTACCTGCTTTTAAATGATGTTTGCTTTAGATCAGTCAACATACAGACACAGTAGTGGGTGCATCTATAACACTGACTATAAAGTTCACTGTTTTGAGAAGGTCAGCACTTCATGAACATTAAAGTTATCTCAATAGCCTGTTGCTAACAACTAATATTCGCTTGGAGATCCAAAATGAAGCAGTTCCAAGCTCTGACTTCCCACTTCTGAGCCAAGTTGAATGTAATATTAAATTGATGTTTTTATTTCGTTCCTGAAGCTGAAAAGGTTTGGAATATGCTATCAGGAAGATCACTCTCAGCTCAATGTCACAACTATTATCAGGCAACTTTACGTTGGCTCTATTATGATAAGCTAAACTTTGTCTGGGTTACTATATTTGCTAAAAATATGTTAAAATATTTAATATGTCTAACAATAAAAAAAAAACATTTTTCAAAGAAACATTTTTCAAACAGTTCACAACCTAGTTAGCTTTTCTTTGCTTGGCAGCAGACAGTTAGCTTGATAAATTACTAGATTAAATAGGACCATACAGTGCTAGCATTTGTAATTTGTAAACATAAATATTAATGCACTCGTATACATGCTATTCTTTATAATGTTTCATTCAAGTCAAAAGACCTTGTGTAAAAGACAACAAGCCTACCTTATCTAACATTGCTCTGACTAGCTCCAGTGTTAGCTTTAGCATTAGCTCATCTGAAGGAGTAGCTTCTGTTGCAAAACCTTCTCCTTTTAAGACATTAAAACTCGCTGAGTCACATGACTAAATGGCTTCCCTGGTTGATTAATGTAAACATGGTTTCCAGAATCCATTCTCTGTCTGTGCTTTAATCTGGCCTACATTCATATTTCATACTCAAGCGTCTGCACCAAACATCTTGTAAGAAAGCCAGTTTATTTTTGAATAAAAAATGTTTCAGATGTGCTCTTCTGTGTGCTTCAGAATTACACTATGGATGCTATCAAGTAGCCTGTACTGAAAGTTTGGCATGCATAGCAACAATAACTAAGGAAGGCAGGACTTTCTAAGAATTTTGCAAACAGTCAATTATTTTTGTTACTAGCCAAAAATATTGATACCAGTCAAAAAAAAAATATTGCACAAATGTGACTGGAGAAAATTATACAGATAATATAGATAGAACACAATAGAAACAACAACGTAAATAATCTCTATTTATTGGGATGCTTCATTTTTTGTAATTTTTTGTATGTTTGTTATCAGTCTGTCAAGAAACCTGAACCTGTGTACGAAAAACACTTTAGGATTTTATATATAACTGGCACTATGCTAATAAAGTCATTAATTTGAACTTTTTAATTTTGTTCACATTCTGATAAACCCATAAATGCCATTACACAGCAATGTCTCATTTTTATTTTTATTTTTTAAACCAGTGCTAAGATAATGTTCCTGGTATTGAATGTTAGCAACGAGCTAGCAGGGTTAGCTCAGCATTATGTTTTTTTAATGTTTGTTTCTTTGTTTTTTTCCCCAATGTTCTCCCCAATTTTTATCCAATTCCATCCACTTTCTGCTAACTTGCTTAGCTTTTTCTAATCCAATTAAAGAGAGTAACTTGTAAACCAGTAAACTGTAAACCAGTTAAAGAGAGTCTCTTTGCAGCAACCAGTGATGTTCAACTGGCAGCACGTCATTTGGTTGAATTTCATTAGCACGAATTTCAACAATTACAACTAGGCTTTTTCAGGCAGCAATTATGAAGCCATGTCCACATATCCTTTGTACAATTTCTTGAGAAATTCATGCTCATAACATTCCCAATCTTGCCATAGTTTCAGTTTCACTCGGCTGTACTGACAGCTACAAGCTGCATGGAAATCTCCCAAAAATGCTTCTGAGACATTTAATGGGGCATAAAATGATAATCAGTGAGCTAATTTTCCGTAATTGTAAAAAAATGACACTTCCATTCCCCATAAACTTGAAATTCACGCTCACATGAAAATTATTTTTGAATTTGAATTTAACGTGAATTTATCCATATTACTAGAAATGGCTATAACATTCCAAAAATGAAGCAGCTGAATTGCCATCTTTACACCACTGCATTACAATTACACCTATGCATATTTACACTAACGCATTTGCAAACAAAAGAAAAAGGCAAAGATAAATTCAGCCTCTCTCCTCTTCTCATCCTCCTTTATTTATTTATTTTATTTAATAATTCCCTCACACTCCTCACGCCCTCACTCTTCATTCTCGAGTGTGATCTCAGCTGACAGGCGGTCCAAATTCAGACAGACGGCTGAAGTCAACAGAATGTCTGCCGCCAAAGTAAATAAACTCTGGTGTCATTTCAGGACAAACTGCAGCACAGCAGCCCGACACACAGGAATTATGCAGGAACAGAGGCTACTGTCTTTCAGAAACGAATGACTGAATCAATTACTGCAGCAGCTTATAATTGCTGCAGATTTTTTTCAATGAATTTCTGACTTAAAATGTTCTGCAGATTTACATGCCACCACCTTCCTTTATGCACTGCCAGTTTAATGGGTAGACCTATGTAATACCTACATTCACTGGCCATTTTATCAGAAATACCTACCACATACAGTACTGTGCAGTGAGAGACTGCCCTTCATTTATTTAATTTCTAGTCAAAATGGCCTTTAAGTACATGTAATAAATTTTTTCAGGATATTTCTGAGAATATTAGAAATAAGATAATCCATTTGCATAAAGAAGGGGGTGGTCAAAGGAAAATACATTAAAAAATAAGAGCTTAAAACATCAGTGATCCTGGCAACTAGATGATTGTGCATGTATGCGTGTATGTGAGTAGACCACTGGAGCAGGACGTGCCATTTCATTTGGTGGTCTGTTGGTGTTTACCTGACGTTTTCGTAGCGGTGGATGTAGATGCGGTGAAACTGGTGCTGCAGGTTTTCATCCTCCACATTACTCATGTCATTAATCATCTCCAGTACAACGAAGCGGGGCAACACTGACAACACCAGCCGCTCCTAGCACAAGGGCAACGTGGGTAATGTAGTTCAGTAGCCATTCATTTTCAAATGCACATCTTAAAAGCATATACATACAAACACACAAACACATATACACACACACAACCTCGCCCTATGTTGCTCCTTAGCTGTAAACCATGATTGAGTTGAGTCATGTCAAGAACAGTGTGTATATGCATGATAGATTTCCCCTGCGTCTAAGGTGTCAAGGTCATGTGCATGATCATTACTGTACCAACATATTCACTTATTACCTGCTTTCTGAAAGTACATATTAAAGATGGTCCATGTTAAAAAAATGAACACAACAAAATAACCTCATGTTGGACTGCAATACATGGATAATTTTTTTCAAAGTGTTAAAAAATGTATTAATAATTTATTTCAAAATTGCATGGTCACCACAGTCCAGGGATCCGAATTGGTTCAAAGAACAAAAATGAAAGCAAAAGGTATTTTGCCCTGTTTTAGAACAGTAACACAACTGAATACTGGTTAAAGCTACATTATGTAAGATATTTTTAATTAAAATTGAAAGAAGTCAAAGGTGTTTGGTTGGTTTTTCATGTCAACAACAAGTTGAGCTGAGCTGCAGTTAGAGATGAAACGGTTGCCGGTTTCACGGTAAACCGCGGTAAAATTAATGACGGTTAGTAGTACCGTTTGAACTTTACAGTATCGTGTGAAAAACTCGGAGATTCGGAGATATTTCAGCCTTCTAAGAAGACCAAGTCTGACGTTTGGTCATATTTTGGGTTTTATAAGGATGCAGAAGGAAAGTTAATTGAAGATGACCACCCTGTCTGCAGAACAGGCCGAAAGAAAATAGCGGCGAAAGGGGGCAACACATCAAACCTTTCGAGTCATCTTCGCGACCACCACCCGCTACCTGCAAGAATGCAAGGTTAACTTTAACGGAGAAATCTGTGGGGACTTCGAAATAGAAGAAATGTCATGGTTTGTGTGGTTTAACTTTTGCTTATGGTTCGTTAATAATATAAAATGAAGCTTTTAGTGTCAAAAAAAACACAATTTGAACAATATCGCGATAATACCGATAATCATGATAATTTTGGTCATGATAATCGTGATATGAAATTTTAATATCGTTTAATCTCTAGCTGCAGTACTACAATTCGGTGGAAATATAGATCATTGTCAATACAATCTTCATGACATCCTTTTAACTATTCGATGTAATAAACCTTGTTGACAAACCTCCAAACAGGCACACATTCGTGCTCGCATTTGTTTTATGCCTCTTTACTTTTAAATGGCACATCATCCTGATATCGTTCTACTTATTCTACAGTAAAAACAATAACATTTACATTTTATAATTAAACATAATTTTAAGTATGTTTATTACTGTACTGTTTATCGAGTAGGCAGCAACGATGTATTAATAATCAGACTGAGGAATAACTGTTCACATGTTTTATATTGCTAAGAAGCGGTAAAGCATAACATTTCTCAAGATATTTTAGTCGTCAACTGGTTGCATAATAGCTGCATAATTAAAGCAGTTTGCATGCCAGTGTCAATTTCCAATTACTCCTGATACAGTAGATCAGCCAAAACATGCATGGTGTCCAAATTTTGCCTCTTTAGTCTTTAGTGCTGAAGCTACAAGGCTAATGTTGCTAACAAACACTAGAACTCAATAGTCACCCAAATATTTCCTGTTAATACACCCCCAAAACATTTCTCATTTCAGATCACACAGACTTGCCGCTGTGTTTTAGGACACAGTATGACTGTGTAATGCAAAAATGAACAAAACTTCACCACGTGGCCAAATGCTACCAGCAGCCAGGTGTTATGTTAAATCCTGACTCCTCCTAAACCACATCAAGTCTGAGCAACCTTATTGAAGGGCTGGATGTGGTTTAAGTGGGTTGAGAGAGGTTTTTGGGATGTATTCATGGAAAAAATTTGGGTGCCTTCTGACTTCTAGGGTTTAGGGTCTTGGCTCATTGACTGCATGGAAAATTGTGTAAATTAGATTTTTTTTACTGAACCTTTCTTTAATATCGTTGATACTGGAACAATTTAATGCCAGTATCAGCTCTGATTCCAATCCTTTGGATCGGCTCGGGGGATCCCTGGTATTTATTAAATTAATTTAACACCAGTAAAATGTGACTTGATTCGAAATTTTAAGTTGGATTACAGTTTGTAATGAAAACACAACAATTCGAAATTAAACCTCAAAGTCTCACTTTGTGGGGAAATCTGATGTCCTACTGTCTTTATTTATGTGCATTTCCAGTATGCAACGGAACTTCTTTATAATAATATAATTTTATTACAGCATTATATATGCAGTAAAAGTATAGTTATTCAAAATTGTATGTTTAAATACATAATATGTGAAGAATTTCTCTCTCTTTCTGTCCCATTTCTTACACACACAAACAAGCACACCCACAGAAACAATCATACATCAACACACACACACATACAGCATATTGCTATATCATTCTTCTTCCAGGAATTTCTCTCCCGCGGGTGCGGCAAGAGAAAGTAATTGATTTAAAGATGAGAAGGGCAATCTCATGAGAAAGAGCCAGACAGGAGAGTACTGAGGAAAAGGTTTGCAGACTCCTTAGGGAATATCTCCTTTCTCTCCCTCTCTCTCTCTAACAGAGAGCACTCAGGCTGTTTGGTGAAGAGGGTTTCATTTGCCAGTCAAGTGGAGCCCATGCTGCCGCCAGTGTGTGTGTACGTGTGTGTGTGTGTGTGCGTGTGTGTAGTTTTCTGAGGGTGCGTTGGCATGTTAATCTTTGTCCCATTATCTTTTAGAGATGAACAATAAGGGCAAATTAGCATATCACAGTTACATTGCTTCATGATTGTAAAATGTTTTTTAAAATATGTTAGAGGACTACTCTAACCTGTATCTGTCCCTTCTATAGAACAGGGCTGATTACCACTGACAATACCTTTGGAAAAATATCCTGTATTTAGAAAAGAACAGAAAACTTGTCCACTCGAAACACTTTTTAATAGAAGCAGCGGCAGCACCTGCCTGTTGGCTTCTCTTATAAGTCAATGAGTTTTCATTCTTTTCTAAGTGCAGGAAAATGGGTCTGCAGTAACTGACTGTACGCTACAGATGCAGCAGTTATAGAATAGGTTGAAAAACACATCGGTGAACCCAGTCCCACTTTGTTGGGATAGCCCTGAAAAGATTATCTATAGATGTTCAAATTATTAACAAACTGTTTGGTTCTCACAAATGTTAGGGCTGTAGTTAGGTTCAGGACCAGGGTGAGGTTTAGGTTAAGGTTTGGGTTGAGTTTAAGGTTAGTGTTTAGGCCAAAGTTATGGTTATGGAACTTTAAAGTGAATTGAATAGATATTTAGTTGAATGCACAGGAGTAGGCAAAGGTTTGGGTGACTCTGTTCAATGTTTTGTTGCTTTTCTAAGTGAAAAAAAGTACACAACCTCTACAGAGAACACAATGCTGCACATCTTAATGCACAGTTACTGTTTATTTGCTGAATTTAACATAGTGAAAACATTTAACAAAAAGTTATGGCACATTTTATTCAATATGTTAAACTCAGCAAATAGAGAAATTGTGCACTGAAATTCGCAGAAAATTGCATATTCAAACGTTCACACTTATTTTCAGTTAGACAGTCAACAAAATATGTGATTTGACTAAGATTGTTCAAATTTTTGCATACAAATGAGCATCTACCATGGGCTGTCTAAATCTAATATTACTGCTAACGCTTTTTGTGGTAAAAGATTAGCCTGACCAAAAATAATTTGGTTTGCTGGATCACATGAATGTGTTTCTCCATCAAAACACCAACAGAAAACCTCTTCAGAAACGTCTGTGATTGGCAAGGATGCTCACATCCCATAGTAAACAATTTTGTGATTAGTTAAATTAGTTAAGTGGCCAATAGAGTTATAAACTTCAAACATCATGTATTGTGCAGCCCCATAATGTTTCCCATCATTCCTATCCCACACACACACCTGTCTCTGGTTCTCAGTCTCCAGGCGCAGACGGGCCTCGATGCACCTGCGTGTCTCCAGGAAGGCCTGGCGCTGGGCGCGGTCAGCCAGGTAACTGATAAACACCCCCGCAGTGTTCATACACACGAACAACAACACCTGCGCACAGAGCTGGAGAGAGAGAGAGAGAGAGAGAGAGAGAGAGAGAGAGAGAGAAAGTTTTAGATCTTGTGTGTATTTATGTTTGATCTGTTGTTTTCACACAACGGGTCTGTCTCACAAAGTATGTTCAGCTTCTTCTTCTACGTTTTAGCTTCCCAACACAAATAACAGTGTTTAACTCATTTTACAACAGCAGTTAACAACTTTCTATCTGTCTACATAAATACAGTTGTATGCAAAATTTGTATACAACCCTCGTCAAATTACATGCTTTGTTGCTATTCTAAGTGAAAATAAGTCAACACATCCTCTACGTGGAAATAGATTTTTTTTGCAAATGTCAGTGCACAATTTCTGTTTATTTACTGATTTTAACAAAATGGGACAAAATCCATAAAACATAAAATGTGCCATAACTTTTGCACAGGCCAATTTCATTTTTTTTCTAATATGTTAAATTCAACAAATAAGTAGTGATTGTCTATTAAAATATGCAGAAGTGTGAGGATGTGTACTTTTGCGTATGACTGTATACATAAAGTAAAACATTTGGAACAGCAAAAATCAACATTGTTGCCAGTGCCACCATGTTAGTGCTTACTGGAGTAATAACTGCTTTATATCCTTTAAGACTGACATCTATCTAGTATTGTTGTTTCCTCCACTGAAAAGTCATATTATTCATTATTATGATTGCACAGAGCAAGAAAAAAGTGACCCAGAAAGGATCAGAGGGGTCCACCTCAATCAGAAGGTTGTCCATAATCCATAATTGGTCAGAAGCTCAGGCCTGATTGGTCCAAAAGCTGTTTATAACTTGAAATCCCAAACATAACCAACCCCAGAGCAGCTTAGCTGCGCACCAGAAGTTGCCATGGTGATGTAGCCTAATAAAGAGTGATCCACTTAGGGATCTGTCACAGTTTAAGATTTCAGAACTTAACTAGCCCTGAGCAATTAGGGAGAGCATTCTGACAGAGGTGGACCCCTACAATCCTTTTTGGGTCACTTTCATGCCATTTGTGGCATCAGTCACGTAAAAAAGATTACTCTTCCATGGAGGAAACAAATTATAAAACATAGATATCAAGAATATAAAACAAGCGTTAATCTGATACTCTTTTTATAGTACTAATATGGTGGCAGTGAAGACTGTGTTGTTTTTTACCTTTATAAATGCCTTACTTTCTACATATTTATGCAGAATAATTTCTTCTCCTTCTTTAATAAGCCTCCTCATGTTTAATGCAGTTGGCAGTTTGTCATAAATGTTATGCTTTCATGTGAACCCACCTGAGCATTAATCAGAGGTTGAGGTTGTAAACGTGGGCTAACAAAGGAAGTTGTCAACTGCTCTCATAAAAAGACTTAACCACTGTTGCATTTGTTAGGTTTTGTGAGGCTGAAATTTGGACAGAGACCTTTTGGTCAAAAAAACATGATTACTCAACATTAACCTCCCACTTTTCTCATTTCATTCTTTCCTTGAGGGAGAAATACACTGAAAGGCTTCAGGCTGCGTTGTTAGCTGAAATGGAAAGATCAAAAGCAGCTACTGAACTGAAACTCTATATGCAGAAATGTTGCTTTGGAAACAAACCCTAAAGTGTATTACACTGTAAACCAATCGAAAATTCCAAACATAAGGGTAACCTGAGTATCCTGAGTGAAACATAAGTGCACTGGAAGCACTGAAATTATTTTATTAGAGTGCTGCTTAATGCTGCTGTCTCAGAGTGCCAGTCTGACATTAGTCTGATGTTATTCTATTGTTTGTAATCATGGGTTATACTTAGACATGAGAGTTTGTGAGGTATCGCAAAATAGCACCACGGATCAATCTCAAGAGTAAGTAGAAAAAAGTAAAGCAGTCCTCAACACTATTTCAATATATGTTTATTTAAATGTGTGTTTTGGTTGAAGTTTTGTCGTTTGTGAAAGGGAATGGCAGCCCTGCGGCTGACCACAAAAACTTGGAAAACTGAACTCTTGACAGGATTTTATGCTGGACACATCTTCATTATGATGCCGTTGCCATTGCTACTGCAATGAAAAACATGGAATATTCAGTTTGTCGTTGTCTGTCTACTGGCATAATGTAAACGCAGCAATTGTAACGAGCAGTCTGTAAGTTATTGTTAGCTGGAGACTAAGTAGTAATTAGTTGGTTTGTGAAATCATTAGTAATTAATCAGTTGTGCGTCTGTGTGTTCTGGTCTAAGTACGCTGGCACAATATGGCGGCCAATTCACATCCACCTAGATAGTGGCTTTTTCCCCATGTCTCAGAGGCTTCTTGGACTGGTCACTTGAACAATGCTACATCACAGCTACATGGCTGCCTAGACTGCCCACTTTGAGTGTCACTGTATCACAGATACAAGGCTGCCTGGATAGGCTGTTTGTTCGATGCTGCACTGCAGCTATGTAGCTGCCTTGGCTGGCTGCTCTTTTGATGCTGTATAGTAGCTACATGGCTGCCTAGGCCAGCTGCTTGGGTGCGCTGCAGCTGTGGGGCTGCCTGGACCAGTGGTATTTGGCCGCATGAGCACTGCTACACGCTACGAGGCTGCTTGATCCATCTGCCTAAGTAATGCTGCATCACAGTTACGCTACACTGCGCCACTGCACTGCAGCTATGAAGGTCCTTAGATCGGTCACTTGAGCACTACTACCTCTTCACAGCCATGGACACCTCTGGCCTACAAGGCTTTCCGGACCTATATTGACATTTCCCTGTGGCTAAGCACTTTTTCAAGGCTGGCTAAATGGCTCTATGCCATGGTCTTTGGAATTTCTGCCCCTCTGCCAGCTGTGGGAATGGTGTGTGTGTAGTTTGCGTTGTTTTATTTCTTGTTGAGTATGCATTCCATTACTTTCGTAAAGTCACTCTCAGTCATTTATCCTCCTAGGTCATGGGGGGTGCTGTAGCCTATCCCAGCCTTGGTTTGGCAGAAGGCAGGAAACACCCTGGACAGGTTGCCAGTCCATCACAGGACAGACACAGTGAGGGCTATTTAGTAACATGCCTTTCGACTGTGGGAGGAAACCCAAGTAGACGCGGGGAGAACATACACATAGAAAGGACACCGGTCGTCTGGAAGGATGATGAACTAAACGCCATGATCAGAGGTCAATGCCAAGTGTGAACAGTGCCTTCTTTACTCATGGACTGTTTCTGGTAAAAATAATCTAGTACTGACATTAGTCAATCTAAAGTCTCAAGTGATCAATTTAAGTCAATCATTCTTTTCCATCATCCCAGAATGTCTCAGTGTGGTGGACTCACCTGAGCCTGCTATTTTGTCAACAGTCTGAGGTTAGATGACGTTTTATGAAGCTGGTGATGAACAGATTAAAGATTAGTTGTGAAAGTCGGTGATGATAAAGAACCATCGAGGAACCTTTGTTATTTTCATGTTTTCAACCAAACTTTCTCTTTCTTCCTAAACTTTAAAAGTTTGTTTTGTATGGGTATATTGGTGCCAGCATATTAAAAACGTGTCTGTGTTTTGGTAAAGTGTGCTGTTTTTAGGGTAATGCCTGCTGCTGCAGTTTCTCCAACTGTTTCCTAAACAGTAAACCCTGCATCCCAGGAGAACGCCAAAAATACACTAACACTCCAAAACAGCCTGCATGCTCTCCAGAGAATGTGCTGTAACCAGCTGCAACCATTGCCCATTCAAACAATTACATCTTACAAAGCAGCACACACAAGCATGACTACAAACACACACCTACACAGGCAAAGACACACATACGCACACAGACACACACACGCTGCCAGACATATACACACACAGACACACACACACTAGTCCAGACATGTCTTTGCACCTGCTACTCCAAAAGACCCGCAGGATTTGTGTGTGTGTGTGTGATATCTCTTGGGTCTTTGTATTATCCTGATGATTAGGAGAACAATGAGGCAAAAGGTTCTGTCACTATCTCCATCTTGTCACTGTTTGCCCCCACAGAGTTATTAGAAAACCGCCATATTGTTTCACTGACTGATCCTCACAAGACACACACACACACAACCCCATTGATGTAGACAGCTTTAAGGAAAGCTAGTAAACATGCTCAATTCACAGAGTCATTGACTCTGAAACACATGTGAAAACATACAGTATTGTGTAAAACTCACTGACGACCCCACATGTATTTAATTTCCAGTTAAAACAACAATTAAGTACAAGTTGTTCATTTTTCACGTGACTTGCATAAGGAAGAAAAAAAGTTAAAGGAAAATATGTTAAAAAACAGGAGTTTCCAAAGCTGAAGTTCAAAATTTTCATAAAAGAAATTGAGAAAATGGAACTCCTAACAACCATGCAAGAACTAGTAGACCACCAGAACTGTCACCATCAGATGAATAGTACTTTAAGCTTTCATCTTTGAAAGATCAAGCTCAACTCTTGCTTCAGATCTGAAAAGTGTTTTTCTCCATCCTTCCACTTTGAGAAGACAACTCAGCGCTATGAGTCTGAAAGGATGCGAAGCTGTCAAGAAGCCATTACTGAGTAAAGGAAACAGACAGAAACTTAGAAAATGTGCAAATCAAACAAGTTATATGTTGGTGTTCTCAGAACAATGGACATCATTGAATGCATTTGGGATTATTTGGATTGTGAGAAGCAGAAAATACAAACAAATTTTTAAGAAAAAATATCCCTGCAGATTTCTTTGAAAAACTGAAAGCATTAAAAATGGACGCAGTAAAAACGGCAAAGGATGGACAAATTAAAACTGCCAAATCTGGTATTACTTTTATTTGTTATCTTCTGTGTAATCTTCTGTTATATATATGTTTTCTGCTTTGTTTCCTTATGTTGAAAAATGAATAACTTGTAATTAATGGTACTTAATTTTGAATGGAATACAAATAAATGAACAGTAGTCTGAAACAGTGCTGTATGATAGATGATCTGGTAGCTGATGTGTTTTTTTGTTTCCCAGCACACACAAAGGAGCATAACTGTTCCATTCACATGACTCCACATATGTGTA